TAGTTTTCTGGCGAGCAACATCGCCTTCCATATGAAAAGTGATATGAGTATCCACGGAGTGCTCAATTTGGTCAGCTGAAATTTGCTAATCAAAAGAAGGAATGGCAAGAAAGGAAAAATAAACTAGATAAAGATATAAAAATAACCATAACATATCGTTATGAACGCAAAAACAAATTTAAAAAAAAAACTCAAAATGGTAGGACATGCATACCAAATCATGATCAAAAATTTAATATCTGGCAAACTCACTAAATTCGGCTTGCACTGTTAGCTCCATATAAGGCCATAATTGTGCTATTGCATAAGATGCATAAAAATGTACATCATAAGTATTCACCATACGATATTCCCATGCTGGAAATTTACAACATCAACTCAGCCAAGAACACCAAGTCCAAATAACAACTCACATTCCAAATATCCAAATCTACCATACTGTATCATGAGGTTTTTCGTATAATCGCTAAGCTGGGTCTCATTCTTCGCCCAGTCTTTATCATATTCAAACCAGAGCGACCCTCCATCAGTCATAAAGTATAGCTCGTTGAAGATCGCCGATTTGTACCATTCGGGGAGATTTGGGTTTTTCAAAATGGGCATTTGCCAATCATCCAGCGCTTTCTCCCACTGGGGCCGTCGTCCCAAGGCTCGGGCACAGAGACAGGAAGCTCCTCTTACGAATCTCGTATAACGCCTAAAGATCAATTATTGAATACCAAATCGGGGTAGCCTTGGCAAATGAATCGCCTACCTTTTATACCACCTTCTCGATGCACCAAACAGCACATTGGGCATGTCCCAAGCTAGAGCAAACTCCACTACCCTTGACTTCTTGGAGGGAACAATGAACCGCTGACAAACTCCTACAGCCAGCTCCGTAGAACCAGGAGCACATTCATCATCCTAAATAGGAACTTTTATCAAAGTTTCCAAACAGAAAAAATCAAAAGTGAATTTTTGAGCGTCAAATTTCTTCGCAATTTTGGTTACTCAAAATCAGTCTATAATACAAAGAAAAGTTGATGAAAAAAGGACGAAAATGACTGCGTATACTCACTTCCAACGGCAAGTCTCCCGTTTCCCGTAACGATGACCAGACTGCAGCACCCGATTTAGATGGATCAAATCCTTGACATACTGATATATGATTGGTCGAGAACGCCTAACGAATAAGCAATACGATACCACAAAAATGACAAAAAAAA